TAGTACTTAGCAGGCAGAAACTCCAGTTCCCTCATTCTTTTAAGAGAATCCATTCTGAAAAATTTCAAAGTGAAACAACACTAAACACCTCCTTAACTAATGATCATTGTCATAGTTTGGCTTTTACAGATTATGATAATTCACACCAGTTGGGTGTCTATCTCAATCTGTAAAGATTTCTAGCAAACAGCACTAAAAATCTTGAACTTCCCTTTGTATGCCCTTAATTGCCTGATTTCAATTATTTTCATACAGTGTGGATTCCTGTTGCCTCAGTTGCTTTTGCTTAATTTTTGTGAATAATAGTCCTTTTTGCAGGCCTGTTTCCCAGAGATACAAAATATATAATAAATGTATATTAATTGCTACAGTATTACTTAACTTGCATCAATATTTACATTGTTTCTCTCTTTGTTGTTCCTTATTTTACTGGAACCTTTCACATGCCTTTTTAATTTCTATCAGTCCAAATGGTTTTGCATTATCAGCAAATGGCATATTTTTTCCTTTGCCACTTAAAACATTTGTTAATGATTTGGCAAGCTGAGACGGCATGCTTTAGTGGAATAAACACAAGGAAGTAAGTGCTGATTTCTTAATTTCTGTTTTCCTCACTATAGAATAAATACTGTTTTGAGAACGTAAAGTAGTAGTATTTTTTTTTTCTAAATAATCTTGTAGATCTTATAGGTACTAAGCACCATTACCTATTATTCTTCATTTTTCTTCATTTGAACTTGCTAATTCTAGGTCCCACAAGCCTAGAATAGTTCATAACATAAGGTCTCATTTCCAGGCACAGCTAAGAAAGGGCCTGTGTTATAGCCTGTTTTGATCAAAGTGAATGTTAGTAGGACAGTGGCCCAGTGCAACAGTCTAGTCTCCTGTCTCTGTTACAGCCACTGGCAGGTTGGGAGTGATGAAGAAACGGATGAATTCTCTGCAAACAGTTGCATACCAGAAGAAGACTTGTCATTCCCCTCCTTCTTGGGATGCACCACAGATCTGAGCTGAATAACTTAAGAGAGTGCTCTGTAGTTTACTTCCATTAAAATGAGTCTGGTTAGTTTAAAGAGCTGAAATGGTGGCACCCCAGCTCACTTGAAGTAGAGTAGGTAAGGGAGTGCTCCTATGAATAGTTCAGCTGACAGCCTGGCGGACACAACAACTTCAAGCAGAGTGGTGGTGACAAGCAGTTGAAGGCTAAGCTGGTATCAGTAATATTTTCCATTAGCACAGCTGGTGCCAAAAAGAAAGCCTGCCCTTCATTGCTGTTCTTACAATGCTCTAAAACAAACTACTAATAAACATCCTGTGCAATGCCAGAAGTTAAAGAGAGAGTCAGATTATTTAGCACTTCTGCTAAATAACTGTTAGTTGTTCAAATCTTCAGTCAAGGAGCAGTAAGAATATTTTTACAGCAGTGTCTGCTAAGACAACTCTTCTACAATTTTACGTTCATCTGCCTGTGAGATCCAGGCTGTGCATTCTGTTGAACTGTACTGTGTTCACATTCACTTCACATGGGGAAGGCTATTTTTTGCAAAATTGATACTAATAATTATACAAACCAAACCGATAAAAGAAATCCATAGAAGAATGTATTGCCTCTGGGGGGGGAAAAAAAAAGTGTTATTTGCATAGGCTTTCTGGTTCTTCTTCCCTGAGAAAAACAATGGAGGGGAAGGAAGTGTAATAATGCCATGCAAATTGTCCATAAACCACAGCACTGGCATGCACAAAGTATAGAATTAAATTTGGGAAAACTCTCAGATACGGGCGTCCCCATACTGATAAATAAATCTTGTTATGAGGATGTCGTCTACTATACATCAAGCTCAGGAAAAAGAAAAAGGAGGAACTTTCTACTTCTCTTTATTTATTTAAAAGGTAAAGTCTGTATTTTGTTTTTCCTGTTTGATTGTTATTGTTGTTGTTAATTGGAAACTTTGAAGATATTCTGACCTTCTAAAAGGGTGCGTGTCCCTCCTGAGCCTCTGGAATTTATTTTCTGCAAGCAGAGTACTGCCGGATACACATTTACCAAATGTGTGTGTGTGGGGGGGGGTGCGGGGGGAAGCGGAACAAAACCAAGCAAAACAGAAAAAGATATTCCCTTAAAAGAAATCAGCCTTTAAAAAGATAATGCAGTTGTTGTTCTTTTTACCTGCCTTTGGGTTTTTTGTCCTAGAGTTCATCTCTCGGAGCATTTCCCTCCAATTAGGATGGGTGGGAAGCAGTTTAAACATAAAAGCTGGGAGTCTCATCCTGACTCAAGGCTCATCAAGAACAGGAAACAGCGGGAGGGCTGTGGGGGATACTTAGGCTCCGGCAGGCGCGAAGGGCAGTCAGTTCAGCCCGCTGCCCCAGGGGCCGCGCAGCGCCCGCTACTTCCCACCGTCCACGGCTGTGGCCCACGAGCGCTGCTGTCATTTAAACTGATGGCGGCGCGGTGCAGAGGCGACGTCCTGCTTAATCCTGACGCTCTTTTTTGTTCGGGGGATCTCTGATGCTACGCGATGGATAGGAGCCTAAGTAATAATGATAATACCAGTTTTGAAATCTGCTGCGCAGCCCTTGACCCCGTGTTGTCGCTTTGCCTTAACTTGTGCGTGTGTGTCGGGGGGAAGCCGCTGCATTAGCAGCCGCCCGGG